TCATTTTCAGAAAACACGCTTTATTTACTAAGTTAGCAGATTCCTTTGAAGAAGTAGTGAATTATGAGATTTACCTACCAACTCAGTTATTGCCCTTCTGATATGTAATGTAGTTTTCTGGTTGTTAAAAATATATGCTAGTAATTCTAAGCAGCATTATCATTAATATCTACAAAGAGAATACCTTGCCAATGTCCAAAATTAACATCCATAAATGTAGTTTCTTTTTCTAATTTATTGTATTTTGAATATGTAAAACTATATCTGACATTTTGCTGAACCTTGTAGAGAATAATGAACACTTATAAATAAAGATATGAATATTTTGTAGTTTTCTTGAGATCTACATTGTTTAACACCAATTAACATCAGTGCTTTATTGACTATATAGTGATACCAACAAGTGATAGAATTTGAAAGTACATGACCCACAGAATTTAATACAATAAAATTAGCTTTGTTTATTTTTCTCTTTTTATAGACTTACTATAACCAACTACTATAGTCAATGAAATATAAAGAGTTTAAAGGCTAATATTTCATGAATACCCTGAGCCAATGTGGTGGTAACATCTATAATTCTAATGCTTGGGAGACTGAAGCAGGAATCAGAAAGTCTAGTCTCATGTAACAGAATCAGAAAGTACAAAACTAGGGTTGACCATGAAGTTTTCCCCTTTCTACAGCTAGAGCTGGTATAGGTAGGAGCCTATTGAAAGAGAAGAGAAGTTGCTTTAAATTTTTCTACCTTGAACACTCTTTCCTTACTTCAAATACCCTATCATCTTCTGACCAGTTTTTTATTCTTGCAGATTTGTAGGGTAGGAAATAAGTCCAGCTCATTGGAATGAAGAAGCAGGAACGTTCTTTCTAAACTGCTGTTGTTACAAAAATATGCTATATTTTCTAGGTTTAGCAAAAAGAAAAAATCTGAGTTTGTTCAGTCTTTCCTAGAGAATCTGTCACCAGATTCTTTGCACTTTAACATGCATTTGTCTTTATCCTCCAGTCATTCTGTTCTAGGAGCAGATTTTTCTCTCAGAGCTTTCCCCATTGTTTTTCATCAGCCTATTTATTATATGAGATCTAAGCCAGACCTACATTTCATGTATTTTTTTGTCAATACCTCCTACCTCTGTCTTATTTTGCCCATCTGTGAAATACCTATACAAGCTCATTGACCTGAAAAACTCTGGGAATTCATCTGTTCAAAACCGTGGTCTGAACTATCAGCAACTAGGTGGACCTCATGTTTTTTTATTTTTTTCTTTTTTCTTTTTTTTTTCATTTTTTATTTTTAAATTAAATTTTTTTCTTTTTTTATTAATTACACTTTATTCATTTTGTATTCCTCCATAAGCCCCTCCCTCCTCCCCTCCCGATCCCACCCTCCCTTCCCTTTCTGCATGCATGCCACTCCCCAAGTCCACTGATAGGGGAGGTTCTCCTCTCCTTTCTGGTCTTAGTCTATCAGTTCTCATCAAAAGTGGCTGCATTGTCCTCTACTGTGGCCTGGTAAGGCTGCTCCCCCCTCAGGGGGAAGTGATCAACGAGCAGGCCAATCAGATTATGTCAGAGGCAGTCCTTCTTCCCATTACTAGGTAACCCACTTGGACACTGAACTGCCATGGGCTACACCTGTGCAGGGGTTCCAGGTCATCTCCACGAATAGTCCTTGGTTGGAGTCTGAGTCTCTAGGAACTTCCCTGTGTTCAAATTATCTTGTTCTGTTGCTCTCCTTGTGGAGTTCCCATCCCCTCCAGCTCTTACTATTTCCCACTATAAGGAAATCATGAAATTTGCAGGTAAATGGTGGGACCTGGAAAGGATCATCCTGAGTGAGTTGTCCCAGAAGCAAAAAGACACGCATGGTATATACTCACTCATATAAACATACAACATAGAATAAACCCACTAAAATCTGTACATCTAAACAAACTAAGCAAAAGAGAGGACCCTAACTAAAATGTTCAATCCCCATCCTGAAAGGCAAAGAGGATGAACATCAGAAGAAAAAGAAAATAGGAAACAACCTCAGAACCTGCTACAGAGGGCCTCTGAAAGCCAGAAGAAAACAGGAAACAACCTTGAAACCTGCCACAGAGGGCCTCTGAAAGCTTCTGCAGTATAGACTGTCAAAGCAGATGCTGAGTCTGAAGACCTCATGTTTTTTTAGGCAGGATTTTAATCCAGGTTTTTAGGAGAATTGCAGGCCCCCTGGTACCCTTGCGGTTCTACTCAATTGGTTTGAGGAAAAGGCAGACAACACCTTTGCTCTTCTTTGTTTAGGGAGAAGGAATTTGAGACTCACAACACAGGTCTATCTGGAGGAATATGCTAGAATATGTGTGTGCTATCTGCTTTTGTTGTCACCTTTGACTCAGTGTGTGTGAAGGTAAAGTGTTAAGCACCTAAGTTTTCGGGGAAACAGCTTAGAAATTCTTCATATTGTCTTACACCCTCTTTGGAGCAAAATATTTGTCAGTCGGTTGGTTTAGTTGAAAATTTATTGTATCACTATATTACCTATAATTAATATTAAGCAATCATTCTAGTTCATTTGTGCTACACGCAAATAATATGAAAAAAATGTTAAAGTCCAACCAAAATAAAAACAATGTTGAGATTGAAGGAGCCTGAAGACATGAATTTGAAGCATAATTACCAATCTTGTTATCATTTCATTATATCATAAATAAGACAGTGCCAATTAAGGAATGTTTGGGAGGTCTTATGTAGTTATATAGATAGACAAAAGAGCAATACAGCAGGAATACACACTAACATTTCCCATGAGCCAGACAGGCTCCTCATTTTTGGGTGCTCCTTCCTAGGAAGGGCCCTAAGCATTTTCCCATGCAACTTGGGAAGGCTGGCTTGTGTTTCTTGGCTTGTCGGTCCCAAAGACTGACTTTATCCCACCATGGCTGATGCTAGAATCTGCCTCTTAGCGATGACAGGCTCTGGACCAGCACTGTGGCCTTTGTTTTCCCATCAGCTGTGTTAGGCCCAAAGGGGGGACCCTAACTTCCCTAGGAGGATGAAGAGAACGCAGGAGACCAATCATCGATGCAATAGCAAGAGGTTTAATTCAGCCATCTTACGATGGGGCTGCCTCCCACAAAAACCAGCGAGGAACAGGTAGGAGAATCAGGAATCTGAGGTTTTTTTTAAAGGAAGGAGCACGGGAATCGCGGAGGTTGCTAGCTTGGCGACACTGGATTGGGTAGTTGATTTTTAAAATGATTGATTCATTTTAGGCGCCAAGTCATCCCACCCTGATCTGGGTGGGGGAGCTATGACATCTGGACTGGTTACTAAGCAACCGTTATCTCATACACTGGACACTCCTCCATAGCGGGAGGAGACCTTTTGCATTCCTTTGCAATGGGTCTTGTCTCAATTTATCCGCTTCTCCTCCTGCCTTCTGTAAAAGTGCTTCGTTTAACATGGGGTATAGAATTTATAAAGAAACCTGTAAAGCTAGCCTGTTCCTTTCAGCTGCCCCTGGATTCTGAAAGGACTACAGATTGGACAAAACATTTCATCCTCAGCATAGTCCACACTCCACACGCTAGGGGATAGCTCTTTACCTCTTAATCTTTTCTTCCTTGAACTTTTGCTCAGAATTTAAAGCCTTCCAGAAACTTACTAATGGGATATTTTGGCTTTCTGTTAATTTTCTGCCTGAGAACTCCTACTGGGCACAAATCTTTTCTTTTGTTAACATCAGCTGTGTGGTTTAGTACCTTATGAATTTGCTTTCTGTGCCAGTTTTTGTGATGCTAGTCTGCCAAAGCCTCTTCTACTACATAAAGATCATGTCCCTGAACAGGGCTCAGCAAAACAGTTCCAAATTAGTTCCAAGGGCTCCGATGAATTGACGTTTTTCTTAACTTTCCTGTGAGTTCAGTCTTATATGGTCCAGTGATTCAAATACAGCCTTCACATACCCAGTTTTCTCAGTAACGCCTGACATTGCTATTGAACTGGACATCAAACATCACCACTTGCATACCTGTTTTATTCAGTAATGTATGCCTTTTCTCTTGAATTAGACACCAACACTGTCTCCCCAATGCCTAGTCTCTTCTGTAATGCTTGTCTTTATCATATGGTGCTTGTTCTTTATGGGGGATTTCAGAAGAAGATAACCAAGAGTTCTTAATGGCTTGTATGAGACAGTATATCAAAGAATGGTGCCCCTTGCTTTGCCTCAAGTAATGCAGCCTGTGTTTCTAGGAGGGATGGATAGGTGGTTATTTTACTCAGTTATTTTCAGTTCCTCTATTCTAATCCCATCTATGATATCCCTTACCTTCATCAGCTATGCTGTGACTGATTTTCATTTCTTCAATACTATTTCCTAAATCAAGCAATTCAATAACTGTCTATTTCCTGTTTACTGTAGTTTCTTGTAATGATCCATTAATCCCATATTAAGACTGTTATATGCATGTTTACCTTGCTCTTTTCCTCCTTACATTCCTATTTTTTCCATAGTTTGAAAGGCTTTAGACAGGGATCTTTAGCACATATTTAGTTTGTATCATTCAATTTGTGCAGTTTTTATAGTCTACAGAATATAGGCCTTCTATTTGTTTCTGCGAAGTTATACCTATTCGATATTTTGAATCCATTGTAATTTTTATTATGAAATTATGTACTCTAGTGTGTAAGACAGATCTGAGTGTGAACCTATACTCTGTAACCTTGTTGTTTGTGTCTCTGGTTCTTTCCTTTCTTTTTAGGTTTCATAGGATATTTTCTTTGTAGATAAATTAGGTCATCTGTGTTATACTGACAATTTTATTTCTCTATACACAGGATTTCTATGTACATACAATTGTATATTAATGGTTCCAAATTATATTCAACAGTAGTGTGTTGAGATTAGTTGAATGCTCTGGTGACTGGCATTGTGTTGAAGGTATTGACTGGGGCATTAAAAACTTGTAGCTATGATAAACAAATGTCCTTCTGTATGATTTTTTTCTTAGATACCCCATCACAGCGGGTGCAGTTTATTCTTGGAACTGAGGATGATGACGAGGAGCACATTCCTCATGACCTTTTCACAGAACTGGATGAAATTTGCTGGCGTGAAGGGGAAGATGCAGAGTGGCGAGAAACAGCTAGGTAAAGATCTGGGTTGAGGAGTGAAAGAATATTTTTTTTTTAATTAGGTCATTAGAAGAATAGAGTCCCAGTATAATCGTTCTGTAAGCACTGAGGGTCTCTGCAGATTTTTGAATTTACTCATCTGGCTTGGGCAGACGCTGTAATAGGATATGGGTCAGAATGAAGTCTGAAGGCAGCAATTAAACAGTGATACAGAGCTGGCTACAGCTGCAGTCTTGAAGATAAACAGTGGCAGGGTCTGATCTGTGTACCATTAACAAAACAATGGAAATCAAAAGTCATTTGTTTCTCTTTTCAGCTGCTGACTTACACCCAAATTGGTGTTATCTTGTGGTAATTTCACTGTGGGCTTTTTTTTTTTTTTTTGTAAGGAAAGAACATGAAAAGAGGATTTAGTTATAGTCCTCAATTTTATGTAGTATTTGGTAAGGAATAAAAATATTTTAGGTTGTTTTTCTAGGATAAGAATTCATTAAATTGAATGTTTTTATAAAAATGTCTCTTAAAATACTTTTTTTTATCATTTATAATCAATATTTTGGTGGTGCCATATAATTTATAGATTACTGTAAAAATCAATGAATTGAATTTTATATCTTTTACTAGTTTTTGCTCATTTATCCATTTATATAGTAATCATTTATGGAGTATCAATTAAATGATATCTAGGACAGCAGCAGCAAAGCCGCTAGATCCTGCCCTCAATAATCTTTGTCTAGTTTAGACAAAACCATATAGTTGTAAACATTGTTAGTGAATGCTGTGACTTAGGTAGACATAGTAACCGAGACAACTAGCCTTGTCCTCTGTCTACGTCCCAAACTTTTATATGAATATGACTCTCCTAAGGTCTATCTAAAAATTTAAATTTTGCATACATTAGGCATAGAGCATTAAGTTCTGCATTTTTGTATCAGCAACATAAATTTATGCATCTTTTAAATGACCTAATTGCTATATAACTGAACTTTATTTAGCCAATCTTGATAGAGACTCACGGTTGTTTTTTTTCTTAAGTTTCTGAAATGATTATTTCTTTATCAAGCTTCCATTTGATGCCATGTCAAAAGCTTTTGATTTGAGAGCCACATTCTCAATAGTAAGAACATTTACCAAGAGTAACCGACACTGGGTCAGAATAAGTACACAGGACAGATGATTCTTTTTATTTTATTTTATTTTATTTTATTTTATTTTATTTTATTTTATTTTATTAATTACACTTTATTCAGTTTGTATCCCCCCATAAGCCCCTCCCTCCTCCCCTCCTGATCCCACCCTCCCTCCGCCTTCTTCATGCATGCCCCTCCCCAAGTCCACTGATAGGGGAGGTCCTCCTCTCCTTGCTTCTAATCTTAGTCTATCAGATCACATCAGGAGTGGCTACATTGTCATCTTCTGTGGCCTGGTAAGGCTGCTCCCCCCTCAGAGGGAGGTGGTCAAAAAACAGGCCAATATGATTATGTCAGAGGCAGTCCCTCTTCCCATTACTATGTAACCCACTTGGACACTAAACTGCCATGGGCTACATCTGTGCAAGGGTTCTAGGTTATCTCCATGCATGGTACTTGGTTGGAGTATGAGTCTCTGGGAAGACCCCTGTGTTCAAATTTTCTGGTTCTGTTGCTCTCCTTGTGGGGTTCCTGTCCTCTCCAGATCTTACTATTTCCCACTTCTTACATAAGATTCCATGCACAACAGTTGGCCATAAGTCTCAGCGTCTGCTTTGATAGTCTGCAGGGCAGAGCCTTTCAGAGGCCCTCTGTGGCAGGTTTCTAGGTTGTTTCCTGTTTTCTTCTTCTTCTGATGTCCATCCTCTTTGCCTTTCAGGATGGGGATTGAGCATTTTAGTCAAGATCCTCTCTCTTAAGCCGACTTTTTTTTAATTTTTTACTTTTATTTTAATATATTTTGAGATTTTCATTCATTTTCATTCCCCCCTTTTCATTCCAACTCCTCCCATGTCCTCGCCTCTCTCATCATACCCTCTACAAACACATACACACACACACACACACAAACAAACAAACAAACAAACAAACACACACGTGCACCCTACTAAGGCCCTTTAGTCTTCCTTATATATGTCTATGAATTAGAACTATTTTGAGATTTCATCTCATCCTTGTCAAAAATGGTAGAGATCAAATAAACATCTGGCAAAAAATGCTGATGAGAATGGATGAGAAGTAAAAGGGACCCCCCCCCCCGTTCATTGTTGGCATAAGCTGGTTTAGTCTCTCTCTCTCACACACACACTGCATTATATTCCTATATACATAAATACAAATAAATGTCAGCTGGGCCGTCTGTATGTTACTTATAGTGCAATTAATGAAAAAGAGGCCATGATCTTGAAAGAGAACAAGAAGGGCATTTGGAAAGCTCTGGAGGAAGGAAAATATGCTATTTTGAAAGAGAATTGTATCCCAATAGGCTCATGTAAATGAATGTTTGATTTTTCAGTTAGTGGAAATGTGTGAGAAGGATTAAGAGGTTTGGCCTTGTTGGAGGAAATGTGTCACTGTGGGTGGGCTTTGAGCCTTCAAAAGTGTACACCAGGCCCTATGTATCACTCTCTCTTGTGGATATAAGGGCTTAAAGTTCTCAGCTACAGCTCTAGCATCATGCAGTCTGCTTCCTGCCCCAATGATCATGACTGGACTTACCCTCTAAAGCTCTGTGCAAGCCTCCAATTAGACGTTTTCTCTTGCAAGAATTGTCTTGGTCATGTTATCTCTTCATAGCAATAGAACGGCAGTTAAGAAAAAAGAAAAAAGGGAAGGGGAAAATGATGGAATTACATCATAACCTCAAAAAAGAAAAGCAATGATTTTTAAAAAACTGAAAGTAGGTTTTCCATATAGCTGAGCTGTATCCTTCCTGAGCTGACTTTTGATAGTTGAGTTGGGAGTTAACCAAGCGTAAAGTAGAGGAGTTGGTATGTCGGCAGACAGAGAGAATGTGCTGGAGCATACAGTACAGAGGTTATTGTTTTGTTCATCCATGTTATTGATGAATGAATGATAATGAATATAATGAGCAATCCTGTCCCATTTAATGCTTATTGGATATTTTTTGAGTAGTCTATGTGGATCATTTTATTTAAAAACATTGAAGTAATTTATTTTTTGAGACAGTGGTCTCTGTGTAGGCCTGGCTGTCTTGGAATCTGCTTTGTTGACCAGACTGGCCTCAAACTCAGATACACCTATATCTGCTTCCCAAATGCTGAAATTAAAAGGGTGTGTCACCATGCCTGGCTACATTAAAGTAATTTAAAAGAAAAAATATTTTCTAGGCAATTCCTGCTAACATAACAAATAAGCTAGCAAAACCCAAAAACTTCTAATATTTGAAGATTTCAAAATGTATGAAATAGTAGACAAAATCATTTTTCTATCTTATTGATACCTCTTTCTTCAAAGGGGTATCTCTATTAAGAATTCCTTATGAATCTTCCAATCAAAATTTAATATATATGATTTCCCCCTTTTCAATTTATATTATATAACATTTACCTTGATTTTCTTTCATATACTTATGATTTTTCTATATTAGCTAGATAAATTTTATACTACTTTTTAAATTAAGGGATTCAGATAAACGGATGAAATTAATTTAGCCAGGCTGGATAGATGTTCATGTTTGTCTTTTTTACTCAATAAGATTGTTATTATGATTACTTACACATATATTCTAGCATTACAGTGTAGTTACTTATGTAGACTAAATCTATCCCCCTAAAGAAGATAAACAAGAAAGAGGACCCAGGGTACGATGATCAATCCTCACTTAGAAAGACAAATGGTATGGATATTGGATGTAGGAGCAAACAAGTAACAGGACAGGAGCCTACCACAGAGGGCCTCTAAAAGACTATACCTAGCAGTATATCAAAGCAGATATTAAGACTCATAACCAAACCTTCAGCAGAGTGCAGGGAATAAAAAAAAAAGGGGGGGGGAGAGTTAATATGACCTGGAGAGGACAGGAGTTCCACAAGGACCAAATATATCTGGGCACAGGGGTCTTTTATGAGACTGTTTCTCCAAACAAGGACCATGTATGGATGCAACCTAGAGCCTCTGCTCAGATGTAGCCCTTGGTAGCTCAGTATCCAAGTGGGTACCCTAATAAGGGGAACAGGGACTGTTTCTGACATGAACTCGATGGCAGTCTCTTTGACCTCCCTCCTGCCCCTCCTAGGGAGAAACAGCCCTGCTAGGCCACAGAGGAGGACTGAAGACACCTGATAAACCAGTATCAGATGGAAGGGGAGGAGGTTTTCCCCTATCAGTGGACTTGGAAAAGGGCAGGGATGGGATGAGATGAGGGTGGGACGGTGAGATTGGGAGGGAATGAGGGAGTGGGATACAGCAGGGATACAAAGTTTTAGGCCACAGAGGAGGACTTTGCAGCCAGCCCTGAAGATACCTGATAAAACAGGGTCAGATGAAAGGGGAGGAGGTCCTCCCCTATCAGGGGACTTGGAAAGGGGCAGGGAGGAGACCAGGGAGGGAGTGTGGGGTTGGGGAGGGAATGAGGGAGCGGGATACAGCGGGGACACAGAGTTAACAAAATGTAACTAAAAAGAAAAATAAAAAAAAAATGTAACTGAAAAAAAAAAAACAAAGTGTAACTAATATTAAAAAATAAAAATAAAAATAAAAGATTCCTTGGTAGGACTTTTTGTGGTGTCCTTGATCCCTCCAGCTCCCTCTATCCTTCCACCCTCTCTTTTATAGCACTCCCCGAGCTCAGCCCAAGCTTGGCCTTGGGTCTCTGCATCTCTCTCCAGCATCTGCTAGAGGAAGCCTCTCAGAAGATAGTTATGCTAGACTTCTGTCTGCAAGCATAGCAGAGTATCATTAATAGTGACAGTGGTCTGCCCTCTGTCTCAAGCTGGGCCAGCCACTGGTTCGCCATTCTCTTAATTTCTGTGCCATCTTTGCCCCATGCTTCTTGTAGACAAGACACATTTTGGGTTGAAGGTT